CCCCAAAACCCCAAAACCCCAAAACCCCACAAGTGCTAGCCTAGATTGAAACCTAACTTTCTTTATTTATAACTATGAAATGTAAGAATCATCATAATTTTAAGAAAAATAATCTGGCGAATGCTCATGAAGAAACAGCTGATGGATATGGGATTTAATATCTCTATTCAGTATTGTGGTTAAACATTCTAAACCACTTGTAAGAATATTTATATAATCACCTTCCAGTAAAGCAGCCTTGTCTTAAGGTGCTTATGAAAAATGGAGGTTTTCATAAAGTTTCAAACTAGGCATAACAATTTAGCGTAACTTTCATTGATGCTGTTATCTGAATAATTAGTATTCACCAAAAATCAATTTTAGAATATATACAAAATTGGATAGACCTTATTTTTCGATCATCAGAGGAATCCATGTTGAAGAATTAGAGTTTTTACCTAAAATACGTAAAGTTATAAAGCCTTCACCGACTTTTGAATTAGTTGCTGGCACTATTATTTTAGGCAGACATAAGATGTTGAAAGCTTCCCGGTGGTGATTTGCTCTTCCTTCTCTCTGATAGAGAGACCAGCCATGCAAAGATATGTATAATAGAAGGTTTTCAGATTCAAAACTTATAATACTATGAAAGAAACAAACGCTTTGCTGAACTTCTCCTAGGATTTGGACACGCTGTTGAATGCTTCTTGTACGACTTTAATAGTGATTTCTAAGAGGTGAAGACTTCCTAAAAAATTAGCTTCACCACTATTCACTTTAAGGTATGGTCCAAGTAAACTAACCTAATTTTGAAAACATTCATAATAGGCATGAAGGAGTTCTAAGATTAAAATTGAATAAAATCCTACAAGGACGTTGTTGTGTGCTCTTTGAGAGGTGTAAGGACACTCTTCTGCTCAGCCTAGCCTAAATTTGTCAAGTTGATTTTTAAGAATATGAATAAAAAATAGTGATATGGTGAATCCTAGTGAGCTAGTACATCCAGAATTAACTTTCTTCTACTGATAAAGCAGAGGAGAGATCCTTTCTGGAAATTCTTGACTAAATACAGCATACGAGCTTACTCTTTCACCACTCTTTGGTAAGAAATTTGTCATAATTTTGCATTCTATTTGGATGATTATTAAAGAAATAGAACTCAAACAGAAATCTCCTTCTAAAATAAAGAGGGTAGGCTAGAAGACCTAATTTTTACATAACTTGATATTTTACTTGTAACAACTAAAAATAACAGTAATCTTTATTACCTCCATATTCATCATTTTATTATGCGGGAAACTTTTCAGAAATTATCGAGTTAACCAGTCTGACTTAATTTTGGCCAATTATAAAATTCTTAAAAGTCTTAAATCTACCTACATTTTTCTCTATTAAAATAACTAATCTTCAAAATTCAAAAACCCATCAAGGTACTCATAACCGTAATTTAATTTATAAAGCAGCTTTTGTGCCTATCCAAAAACCAGAGAAAACTTCTTCCTACATTATATTCACCTAATTCATTAAATCTCCCTTATCTTGCTTTCTTAATTTCTAATTCTTTTATTTTCACCCAAAAATTGCTCAATTCAAGAACTTTACCTCAGTTTCATTTCTCCATTTTCTCGAATTCTTCAAAATTGTATAACTTTTATTAATCCTCAAAGTTTCCAAACTTTTAGCAGAAATTAGAAATGTTAAATATGAGGTATCTTAAAGCCAAACTAGATCTCTTTTCATGAGAGCAGTAACTGTAGGATCTCACTCGAGGGTATCTTCTTCAGTTCCTTTGAGTTTCTCCTAGGAGCAAGAGAGCTGAAAGTTAATGGCTTAAATTTCTTTGCATGAGGGTTAGGCTTAGATCAGGTTTTAAAACCTGTTGACTTTCCAATCACAATAGTATCATCTTTGAACAGTTGTCCCTTGCAAGGAATTTCTAAGTCCTTTATAAAATCTTCATTTTTCAATTTCCCTTTGTTATCTTTCAAAGTGTTTTTAAACTGATGAGTCACCTTAGGCATCTGAGGGAAGCAATCATCGCTATTATAACAAGATACCTGGTCATCACTCCATATATCTTTCAAGGGAAGGGATGGCTTCATCTGGCCTGCTAGATTCATCAAAGTAAATTATTATGTAATCTTTTCAATTATTTTCACCTATCACGGGGTTTTGGGGTTTTGGGGTTTTGGGGTTTTGGGG